CTCGCAACACAGTACGTGGGTCCAATCGTCCTTGTTACATACTGGCTCGTGCCCTCATCACCTTCCGTGCTTCCGGCTCGTACATGGCGACGCGCCTTGCTTGTACGCTCGCTTGTCTCTTACTCCGGCACGAGGTATGCGATATAAACGCCTGCTTGCATGGCGCCCCTCGCGATATCAATTGCGCTCTTCTCTGTCATGGGTACGCGCTCGAATTTTCCGAGCGCCTCGTCTTCTCTGACACGGGCCACCACAGAGTGGGCACAGGTCCCCCATCACCCTCGCTTATCCACCGACGACGACCCTCCTCCTCCCTATACGCAGTTCCCCGCACCGTATCAGAGCGTGTACGGCGTCGCTCGATTCAGTGCGGCCGCGTGGCCCGTGAACCTCGATGCGGACTTGGACGGCGAAGGTACTGAGCGCATCTGGTTTAATCCAAACCCAGCTTCCTCTAATCTGCGGGAGATGGGGCCCACTGCGAGACACGAAACCTTGCAGTGGCTGTGTGGCATGTGGAATTTCTCACCCATGTCTGGTGAGCGACGTCTCACGTTTGGCCAAACGAGGATCGCGATTTACCCATATCCTTTCGTACCAGGTCCTGCGCAGTATTGGTCTGCAGCAAATGGGGCTTCGTCTAGCCTGCGGGAAATCGGACCAAGCGAGACCCCCAACACCTTGCAAGCCTTGCGCGACATGTGGAACGGTCTTTTTGTACGTGGTGAGGGAAGTTCCGCCTTCTCACCGCAAGAATTGCGATGTACTCATCATTCATTATAGGGCTAGCATCCGTGGTGCGCATGTGGCGGGTCGTAGTAGGATGGAGCACTGAGCTCGTACTCCTTCTAGGCTTCACCGGGACGGACGCGTTGGACGGTGTTTAGGCAGAGATACTAGAATGGCAGACACTGTCATTGATACAGGATCATCGTCATCACAGAGTGTACAAGTTTACTCAGGCGCACTCGAGTGAATGTGTTAGCACTCTGGCTTGCTGTCAGTCTCATTTTCTCTCAGACTCACTGCTCTCGTAATGGTGTCATTGGTTACCGCTTTCCATCGTTATGAGGGGGGACCCTCAGTACTTGGAGAGTACTTGCAAGCACGCGAAGCCCTGAAGCGCTCTCAAGCACTCACACGTGCTGTGAGCGCCATCTCACTGGCATGACCTCGAGTGATGTTTTGAGGGCTAAGCGTCTCCCCTCGTATAATTCACCTCGACACGATAGCCATTACTGTCAGCTTTGGAACGAACCAGGCCTCATGGCGAGAAACGCAGGAGTAGACAAGATATTCAAGAACTTTCAAAAACATGCGGGGATTCTCGGCAACGGCCGCGAAATTCCTCGGGCTCGTCGTAGCACTCCTTCGTGCGTCCCTTTTGCCTTGATTTTTTCTCCAGCGTCGTGTAGTATATGCGTATCAGGCATCCCGTGAAGAAATACCACTAGCCGGGGACCACATTGTGCTCCCTAGGTCGAGGTCATTTCGAGCAGGCCACGTGCGGCAGTGCTTGAGCGTGCTTGAGAGCGCTCGAGGGCTTCGCGGGCTTGCAAGTACTTACTCTCCAAGTACTGAGGGTGCCCCCTGATGGCCATCTCGTAGATACCGTACGCCGTCACGATTTCAAGTTGTTCGGAATCAAGATGGAGGCCGTCCAGGCACACTCGTTCGCTTCTCAATGTTTGACATACAGGAAGCGAGCGGTGGTCTAAGGTCTTCGCCAATTGAAACTTGCGGCGACGAAAGCGCTTTCCCTCTCAGACATTCTCTGCTGACTCGCAACCCAACCAACTCTCTCTTGCGAGCACCTCGGCAGTTCGAAAAATGACGGCGCCAGAATCGCACTGGCACACGATAGCCATAATGACGCCGGCACATTTCTTTCTTCACTGTCCTTGTAGTGGCGCCTCACGGCCTCTGATAGGGTCGTAACCTTGTGGGTGTATGAGTCCCGGGCGTTCACCGTAACTCTACAAGCATCGCATGCGCAAGAGTATGTCCACGTGGTACTGGTGGGGGGGAGACTCGTAACTCGTTACGCGCGAGAGTCATGCTTATGAAACAGCTTGTGCTTGAAGTTGGACACGAAGTTTTCACAGGTATGGAATTCTGAGCCCTAGTCGATGATGATACGCGCAGCGGGGCGACCGAAGAAGATCGCCAACCTGTCCAGCGTATCATCAGCTAGTGAAGACATATTTAGTTGGTTCAACTTACGACGGCTGTCTCGACTGAGCTCTGCTCGTTCTGTTTGGCACGATTCTCGGCGTCTCGTATATCAAGAGGTTTCCCGGAAGGAGTGTTCTCAGCCAGTACTCGATTGCGCAGGCGCAGCCCAACGGTTCTACTGGTGTACTTCAGAACTAGACGCTTGATACATCTTGCCAGAACTCACCTATTTCAGGGAGCTCACCCGAAGGGACGGCGAGATTAGGACACCGCCATCTCGCCAACGAACCCGTCGGACATGCTGACTACTTGCGAATGCTAAGTCTCCGTCAAGAAGCTCTATGCGCGGCCAGTCCGATGCTTCTGGCCCGTGCGCGAGGCAACTGGGCTTCCATGGGGGAGACTCTGAGCGGAGGCTCAGCCAACAAGACATCGATAGACCTACTAGAAACTTGAGAATTGAGGTAGAGCGATTGAGTTAGGTCGAGGGAAATGGCAAGGATGGGGTAAGGATACCGCCAATTCGAAGCAGTGGGTCTGGGTTATTGCTAGATGGGACTGGGCGGGATATTGCATGATCAGCTACGCATCGTGTGGAAGTGCAGGCGCCACACCGTCACACACCTGGAGCGCAACTAGGGCAGCCGCCTCATACTTGCGCAGGACTCCGCCTGGCGCCCGGGTAGCGTCCGTACTCCAGACTCTACCAGCGGAATGCTATGGTATGCGTGCCAAAGGCTATCTTTCCGCGCGAAGGGAGATGGGTAGCCCAAGACGACGCCAGACGTGGTGGAGGTTCAACTGCAAGCTTCTAGTCTACATAACTGGGATGATCATGCGGCGCCTTCTTCAAGTCATCTCGGTGATTGCCGTGGTCCCGCGAGATTTCGCTTGGCACGAGACGCGAACCCAAACGTTCAACCACCATTGTGGCTATCCTTCGAGTTCGGTACTGGTCTTGGCGACATAGTCACGATACATATTGGATGGTCCCAGGGCGAGTAATCGTTGTAATCTCCCTTGCAATACTGCTTACACCGTCCACGGTTCCCTCCAGACGAAGTTCTCTACATGACTGGTTCACGGGCGCATTGGCTAGAACAAGACACCAACACAATAGCAAACATCTGACGACTACCCACTTCACTTTTGAGATGCTTTCACTCGACATCCCGGTGTATATCTACTCCCGGAGGCCCTCAACGCTACATATTCTTGGGTTGCGGGCGAGGGAGGCGAAACCGTCACCCGAGTCAGCAACATACGATGCGGGCTACTTACGAGATGCGCGCCACATACATGGCTCAGAAAACCGGATAATTTATTGGCCCTACACTTGCGCGACTTGACTCTCGCTGTCACACGCGAACTTGTTGGCTCTGTACTGGGATGGCGCAGAACCTACGTCTTGATCACGACGACGCAACTTACCCTGGCGACTGTAAAGGACTCTATTCATCAGGGCTCGCATGGCTCAACAGCGATACAACTCGTTTTGGTTTCGCCGAGCTGCACATCTCTCCCTCATGTCTCGCGTCGTCTCTCCCCCATCTTCCGCAAGTCGCAGGCAGATGGGCTCGAATATATGTGTTTTGGTATGTCTATAGAATCCCTAGGTCTTGGGCATCATACTAACACGCGAAAGAATGGTGAATCAAGAATGGATCTCAAGCTCAATACGCCCATCGACACTGCCCGCCGGTGCTATGTCAGAACCTCACCCCCAGATGATTACCAAAGCGAGGACGGAGTGATGCATAGTGCCGGTGAGACCTCTGCGTGGATATCTTCCTGATTCAATGTACATCTCAATGGCTTTTGACCATGCGACCATTGCTTATTTGACGAGACAGGTGTAATCTCAAATATATCGGCGGTCTTCTGCGCGGCGAATCTTATAGACTGCATACGAGGGAGGCGAAACGCCATTCGCATCTACGCCGCTGGGCACGGCAAGATACTGCAGCACACGCGCCTTCTACCCTGCTCTCTTCTCGCCGCCACTGCCACTCGGTACGGGCCCAATGTTGCTCGTTCGGGATCTGATGCAGGCGCATGCGTCGTTGATGGTCGTAACATGTGCAGCGTAATGTTGTCGGTTTGCCCGAAATCGCAAGACACCCCTGGGAGGTCAAGGAAGGGCCGGTAATGATACGATGAACCCTTTCTGATTGGCGCGGGGAGAGCCTGTGCAGGACCGGGTTGAGAGCCAGAACTCGGGCGTCACGTCTGATCGAGCTTTAGTCCGGGCTCCGATCGCAGCCGGCTGTGAAAGCGGATATGAGAGGTCGCCGGCACCGCTAACCACCGCTAACTACGAAACAGGGAGAACGCCTAAGTGTCATCGGCTCGTCTAGGTCCTTGCGCGCTCCTCGCGGTGGCGATGCGCGCCTCCTTGTTCTACGATTTGATATCTTGCTTTGCTACATCATCATCAATATATGCCATCATGAACCCATCTCGAAACGTATGACGCGGCTGCGCTCCGGACTATTGCATCTTCAAGTCTTCAAGTCGGATTCCTACCACTCACAGAAATTTCGGTCGTGTCGCGAGGGCGACGGTACGTCGCTCTCGCAGGCAACAAACAAGTGTCCGGCGCCAAACGTCAGTAAGTTACCCCAACCTTGTCCAGAGTCAAATCGAAGTTCGGTTTCATATCATGCCTATTGACCTCTCGACTGGTAGATTTCCCCACAGTACACGCCGTAACCATCACCTTGCTGTATGTAAAATGTGAGTGCCCGACTCACGCAGCTCACCGGGTCTGTATATTGATCGCCCAAGACACTTGGGCCGTCACGGCCTGCATACGAACTCGTGGTTTGCTTCGCGCGATCGCCTGCTATAGGGAATAGAGCCATTGTAGGCGAACTCGGAAACCGCAGCCCTTGTCGGGCAGCGGATCCCCGATATCGGTGGTGCTTGAGCTACACATCGGGCTACGAGGCGGAGATGAGAGCCATAGGCAACGGCGTTCATCGACCGAGCTAACGATGGCCTTGCGGCGTAAGTCTTGCCTCTTACCCCCACGACTAGCTCCTTGGTAGACTCCCAACCTCACCGCCGCCACCTTCAATGCACCCACACATAGAATCTGATTGTTCACCGTCAGTTGAAGAAACGCCACCTGAATCCTGCGCTCTGGTTCTGACACAATCCCCATAGCTTTACGAGCGGGCCCGTCGAGGCGATCGCGAGCCGTCGATTGCAATACTTTGACAACTTTATTTCCTCGCCAGATATACATGTCGACGACAGTGCCTCCGCTATCGAATCCATGCTCCTGAAGGACATCCTTTCTGTCCATGACCTCGTGGCTCGCTTCAATCGACGACTCAATCGGCTACGATGCCCCCTTTTACGTCTGCCTCCAGAGCTCGTGTGATCGGTCATCAACAGCGTCGTTGAAAGCGTCGTCACAGGGCATGGCCATACGAGAGAGTGGATGTCTCTTGGATATGTGTGTCACGACCTTCGGCTCAACCTCCTCGGCATGCACACACTCTGGGGTAGCCATGCCTTTGCACTGGATGTCATTGCCAACGAGGAATTCTTGGAGCGGGCACAGGACGCACCGATCGATGTTTTACTCATCTCGAGCTCTCCGATTCATCGTTGGGAACTGGGGGTGCAACATGTCCTTCGGGCAAGGGCGCTTGAGGCGTCAGGCGGCGCTCCATTGGAAGCCCTTACGCAGGGATTGGGCGGATGTTTCCGTCTCTTGGAGACGATGCGCCTGTTGACAGTCACCAAGACCGTCATATCCTTGCCACAAACGTTCTCAGCGCCCAACCTGCGTACTTTGCGCCTTTCGGACGTCGTTTTGGACTTTGGTGCAGTCCGGTCCACAAATCTGACAACACTCGCGCTACACATCTCATACCATCACCCAAACATGTCATTGCCTATGGACTTTCTTGACTTCTTGATGTCTTGTCCCGGCCTTCGCGAATTGGACCTTCGTGGATGTATACCGCATCTTCGGACAGAGTCCATAAGAGAGGAGATAATGCCCATCTCTCTTCCCTGGCTCGCGGAACTCACTCTAGTGCAGAACCGCGCCGCCATAGTCCGATTCTGGAGTGTGCTGAGAATACCCTCCACCGCTTCAATCAACATTTCATTCGATGATGCGCGCATGCTTGACGCCAGTCCGCTGATGACATACATCGAGGATACCTACGTCTTCTCATCTCACGTCCTTGCAAATAATGGTGCTCTGCCACCAGTGTCGGCGCTGAAGATAGCAGCCGTTAACGACGGGAACATGTTCTACATCTGTCTCAGGCTTTACCATCCAGGACGTGGTACAGGTACCACATGTACCCTGGATAAGTCGGCTACGACATGGACACGCAAGCTTTCATTCGACTGCTCGGTGCATCGATGGACGGCATCAGAGCTCGCGGCCGCCATAGGACGCTTCTCTTCCATATTCCGACTTTCCCCCGCTATAAAGCTGCTGTCCATCGAGGGCGACGGTATCCACCAATGTCTCCATCAAGCCGGGCTCCCACCCGTATACGAGCAATTTCATGCCGTTCAAACCCTCCATCTGGATTTCTACAGAGAACCCGAAGCGTTTACGCCTCTCGGAAACCTCTTCTACGCCCATGACTCATCGTGTCAGACATCATCCCCGCCTTGCCCCGCACTCGAGACTTTATATCTATCCAATTTTCTCGTCGACGTCGATGAGGATCATCATAACTTCGACTATATTTGTCACCCATTGGGAGAGACGCTGTACAAGCGCAACAAGCATGGCTATCGTGTCAGGACCTTAGACTTGGAACACGCCGAGGTATCTCCGTTACAGCACCACTATCTATCCTCTTTCGTCGACAGCATCCGCGTTTACCCATGAAACTCGCACGCCGATGGGTCTCATTGACCGGAGTGAGGAGGATAGACGAGTGGAGAGGCATGCTGGAGAAAGGGAAGGTTGTTATGGGTGACTTTTACAGGAAGGGGGCGAGGGTGCAAGGACTTCAAGAGTGTCCGTCAACGTTAGTAGGGCCATGTCGAGCAGGCACATCTAGGTACATCTTTGTGGTTAGACAGCGTCATATCTGACATGAGATCAATGGATGCATCTCTGGTCGCGCATAGCGGAAGAGATTAGATGAGATTGAGATGTGATACATATGCGAATTCGATCTATGATCTATGATCATCGATCATCGAGAAAGCTGCGGTTGGGCCGCACTGTCCTCGGAGCCTCCTGTCCTCTCCTCTTTTCCCGTCGCGCGCATCATATCAGTAGGTGTGCATGTGAAGCTGTCAGATGAGGCCCATCAAGCGAACAGAGAGAATGACAGAGGGAAGAGGAAGTGGTGGTGGTGGTGGCACGCCACCGAGATGTTTCTTCTGGCGGAATCGGCTGTCCCGTCGGCTATAGCCCACGTACACCCACGATCGACACAGGCCGCCCTCCTCTGCGCGCGGTTTTGGCACTGAGCTCTAAGTGTGCTACCTCACGCTCAGGAGGACGAGTCGTTCGCTTAGAATCTCCGAGGCTAAAATGACGTTGTATAGTGTTAGTTCGATATCCTGGTGCGGTAGATCCCGGAAGCCAGATTAGCTCCACGGTACTGTAAATCTCGAGCACTTTTCTAATGAATCTCGCCGCGTCAGTAGTCACTCGGCAGAGGAGAGTAGGACTTTGAGCGCGGCTATTGCGTCCACCTCGCAGGTGACGTGAAAGCTAGTAAGCGTAAGTATTGCCACTTTTGCATGGAGCAAGATGCGGGCCGCTCGAAGCGGGCTCAGGGCGGCGGAAAGTGCCTAGCCCTGAGTGAGTGAGTGTGTGCTCTGACGAGCGGGAGGAGAGTGTCCCGCCCGCCGTCTCCCGTGAGTTGTGGACATATTCTACAGAAGTAGAATGGATCTCCTTCTGCAGCGTCAGTAGACGCTGTAAGAAGAAAGGAGCCCAGAACGGACGCGCCGAGACGCGGTCACATGAGACGCGCGCTGGACGCGTCGCGAGCCTGCGCGAAGACGCGAGAGGCTGGCGCTGAGCCGTACGGGTCGCGAGCTGCCACGCGCGGGTGAGCCTCCAAATAGACAACCGGAGCCAGAAGCCAAGAAAGGAATGCAAAGGCGCGTGCAATCAACATACCGCCCATCACATCATCCTCGTCACCATTCTGCACCTACAGCAAAACGCGACGCTCGCCTGAGCGATACCAGGATTCCATATTCCGAATTGTCTCAGCATGCATACTATGTATGCCCGATGCCTTGCTAGGGGCATAAAAGTACGCTCGCGCGGCATGCATCCAGAGCGAGGGACCAGAGATTTGAAAAGAACGAGAAGTTCGTAGTTTAATTTGGAACATAGCGCGAGACGGTCAAGGAACGACGAAAGCGCGCGGCAACTCACTCGTACAAAGGAGACACTGGGGGGTATCAGCAAGCGATCAACGTTTTCATTGGGGAGGCGTCCTGTGTGCTATCCCACAGCGGGCCTATAGCATAGCGTAGATCTGCTGCGCGACTCGAAGGGTTGAAAGAACGAGGAAATTATCGATTGAGTGAGTGTTGGGCGGAAGATGTACGTGCAGAAGACAACGAAATAAGGCGACTGTACGAGGTATGGTGGGTCTAGGTAACCAGGGGTATAAGAACGACGCTTGTTGGTGAGGCTGGTTGGCGAGGAGGGGGAAGTGCAGCGGCTGACCATTCAGTCCAAAGGGTCTATGTCGAACTTGGAGGCTGATGCCCTCCCTCGGCGCCGGAAACGCCATCGGCGAATGCGGGTGGTCAGGACAGACCACCCTGAGGAAGGTCGAGTCCTTATCTGGTACTCCTCTTGCGCGCTCGAGGTCAAGACGACATGGTGAGGCGGCAACGGCAACGGCCGTGGCCGAAGGAGGGTGTTATGCGGCGCTCTATGCGCGGAGGCGCTCGTTCGCGCAGCACGGGGCGCGCTCAGTGTGGGGAACTGCGTATAGGG